GATAATTTTTTAAGAATATTCTTACAGATAAAAAGTCGCCTAAAAATATCACTTTTAATTACAAAATTATTAATTTCCCAACATATATATGTTAAGTATGTTATTATACGTAATATAATCCTCAATTTAAGGTAAAATTCAAACACTAACCCTTCGCAAAACGTTTTAAAGTGCTCTTTAACTAAACTGCCTTTAATTAAATGGTTTTTTCGGTCAACTTTGAGTTTGCAATAAAATGATTTCAAATTCTTGCTTGCAAATAACTTTGCTTTCTTTTTTATTTAAAAAATTCAATATAATAAAAAAAGGGAATCAATATTAAAGATACACTAAAATTATATTCTGTCTTGTTTAGTTGTTTCATATACGCAAAGGCCGTCGGGGTTTTAAAGCCATTATAAAATCAATATTTAAAACAAACTTACCTTCGTTAACGTCGGCTCCCTTCTTCTAGCCGCTTCTTTCGCAGTTTCTTTCTAAGAGAGCGTTTGAATTTTACACAATATTGCAAAAATGCGAGTAAAAATGAAATATATTCGCAAGAAATTTATCAGTCATGAATCATCAAATGAAGAGCTGCTATTTCGCTGTCGTGATGCAGTCGTTTATGCAAACTTTAAATTGGACCAATCAGTGTCCGCTATTCATGACAATCCGCCATATTTTTGAGGTCAGTGAGAACGACCACCCACCCAACACCGTTGGTGACCCACACCCGCGATATTTGATGAACTTTAGACTCCGCTAATGCTTTCGTTTCCCCGGGTGTAAATAGCCGGGGGGAATTAGTACCCTCGCACGGCGCTTCGCGCGGTCGGCTCGGGGAATATATTCCGTCGGGTTCAAGTTGATCGTGGTTCATAGAAATCTTTAAAATTTTCCATACATTTTATATGAAGAGAACAGACAAGCAAGTACAGGAGAACTTACTTCTGGAGCCCTAAAGTGCGCAAAACGTGTCCCGCGCCAAACATCTTCCGAACATATTCGTGCCCGACTGAACATCAATGTAGTAAAATGCTCATTTTTGGAGTTACTTTTATTATCGGAGGTACCCTTTCAGCTAGTAATTCCTTTATTAACCCTTTCCGAAAGCACGTCGCCTTAGCTATATAGTCTCGTTTTTGTGTTTGAGTTTCGACGAACTTATGGAAGGGTGTATGAAATTAGTACTTGAATGTCCCAAAATTGGTTTGCATTAATTAGTAATACCTTTTCCTTGGAAGACAACCATCTTTGATATCAGCCAACGGTAACACGGGAATTCAAAGGATTCTTCTTGCTTTGAACTAATTACAGTGAACTTGTTGACAAACCAATCAGGGTCCTTATACGAAGGACCGTTGTTGAATAGATGAATAACAAGGACCTCTCCAACATCCATTGCCTGCAATGTATACTCGTAGGTGGACCCGACTTTATCAAAACAGGAACTAAATGAAAACGTCCCAGTTTTTCCTTTGAAGCCTGAAAAGTAACGTCAATACAAACAATTTGAATTGTACAAACAATTTTCAATTTGTTTGAACTTTTTACGAATATTGATATCATCGTGGAGACGTACGTGTGACCTCTTCATATAAAGAACCTCTAATTCCTGAAATTACTATACTACAGCGCGATATGGTATCTTTAATCTTTAATCTTTAAAGATAGCCTGTTCAGCAGATAATATTTACAGCGCTGGTTTTCAAAGGGCCGTGTGTTTACAACAATAATATAAAAAGGACAAAAAGAATATAACTATTTACAATGAATTGATACGGATGAATTAAGTAATTGCCGTTTAAACGACAAAATTGAAAGATTGTTATAATTTTCAATAGTTTCACTTGGAAGTTCGTTCCAGGACTTAGCAGCTCTATACGAGAAACTTCGTTTGAGAAAATTTGTCTTAGGTTTGGGTAGGTTCAATTTAATTTGATTGCTTCTTAGATTGTAATTGTCATTTTGACTTACTGAAAACAATTTTTCAAGGTATCGAGGTAATCGACCAGTTAGTACTTTAAATGTCATTATTAACTGTCGTTGTTTTAGAAGTTCTTCTATTGGAAGCCAATTAAGACTATCTAGCGTTTGCATGGAACGAACCTCGTATGTGTCCCCTGTTATCACACGCGCTGCTCTCTTCTGCAGTGTAAACAATTTATCAATTATCGAACAACATCCATCATTCCAGATTGTTGAACAATAATTGAAATGAGGCCACACTAAGGCATTGTAGATTTTTATCAGACTATCTCTATTGACAAACAATTTTGCTCTTTTCAGCAGGGCGATATTATTTGAAATTGTTTTACATTGCATTTCATTATGTTTATTCCATTTTAGCTGGTCGTCAAGGATCATGCCTAGTGACTTTTTTTGGTAAACTCGCTTAATGTTGTTTCCCCCTAATGTTAGTACTGGGCTATTTTCAATTGAAGCTAAGCGACGTCTTGATCCTATTATCATAAATTCACTCTTTTTCATATTTAATGAGAGCTTGTTAGCTGTCAACCACCTATGAACATTTTCAATGTCTTTATTAAGTTTGATCTCAATTTCATATGGACTAAACCCTTCACAAGAAAGGCTTGTGTCATCAGCAAAAAGATTTGCTTTAGTTGTCTCTAAACAGTTAGGAAGATCATTTATGTACAATAGGAATAAAATAGGCCCAAGGTTAGAGCCCTGAGGTATCCCGCATTTTATTTGTCTAACAGCTGACATCTTGCTATTCACAGAGCATATTTGGCTTCGACCAGAAACGTATGATTCGAACCATTTCAGGCTAGTTCCTTTAATACCATATAATTCAAGCTTTGATAAAAGAATATGATGGTCGACAGTATCAAAAGCTTTTTTAAGGTCTAGAAATAAAACTCCGCTAAGTAAACCTCTGTCCATATTGAACAACCATTCATTTGTAGAACTAAGCAGTGCAGTTTCAGTAGAATGTTGATGACGGAAGCCAGACTGCTGTTCCACAAGAATGCCATTCAACCTCAAGAATGAACTTAGCTGCAGGTATACCAGTTTTTCGAAAAGTTTAGCTACAGCTGAAATAACAGATATTGGCCTATAATTTTCACAGTCTGCCTTATTTCCTTCTTTAAATATGGGGGTCACCTTTGCTAATTTCCAATCATTAGGGAAAATTGCTCTTTGAAGGGATACATTGAATATGTTCACTAGTGGTCCTGCCACAATGTTAGATGCGTCTTTTAGTAACCTTATACTAATACCATCAACCCCTGGAGATTTCTTAGTTTTAATTTCATTGAGTGCATCTATTGTTTCTTGGAGTGTAATGCTTGTAAAGTTGAATATACTACCATCAAGAGGAGTCACAAAGTTCATTGGATCAGTGCAGTTACCTGTGATCTTGTCAGACAACGTACTAGCTGCCAATTGTGGAAAAATATTGATTGAAGGCATCTGCAATTTTATCATCGTCAGTAATAAGTTGGCCATTTATATCTAGTTCTTTAACCTCTGAAGTTTTAGGCTTTTTGTTTAATAATTCGTTAATAGTTCGCCAACTTTCTTTGCTATTTTTAGCATTGCTTAGTTTATCTCAAAAGTATTCTTGTTTAGTTTCTTTTATGAGATTATTTAACTTGTTTTTACATCTCTTGTAAGCCTTATCATAATACGCAGATCTTAATTTAATCGATTGCTTTTTAAGGTAATCCCTACGATAGCTCATTTGCTTAATTTCATTTGTCAGCCACGGTTTATATTCACTCTTGACACGACGTTGTCTGATTGGTGCATGTTTATCTGCGACGCTCAAAAACTTATTTTTAAAATCGTTCCATAAGGCATTTGGGTCAGTTAAAATACTGAATCCAAGGGCAAACTAAAAACCTCACTTAGATCGTTGTTAAACTGGTTAACATTATAATTTTTATAATGTCTAGTAAGACAGTTTTTGGTGGCGCCTTAGGAATGCTGAGCTTTCGACACAGATAAACAAGACTATGATCACTGATACCAAGGTGTATTACTCCTGTATCTAATATTTTATCATCACCATGATAAGTGAGGATAACATCCAGTAGTGATGCTGTTGTACTAGTAATTCTCGTGGGACACTGTATGTGTTGCTGTAATTGATAAATGTCAATCAGGTCAACTAGTTTAGAAGTAGGCAAACTTTTGTTCTGCTCAAGAATGTTACAATTGAGATCTCCGGTTATGATAATTTCTTTATTTTCGTCCTCAAGTAGTTTTAAAAAATTTTCAAATTCGCTAAACAGCTCAACGCTGGAATTTGGTGGTCTGTACCATGTTGTAATTAACTGAGGTTTACTTTTAAATTTTTTAATTTCTACGCAAATCAACTCTAAATTATCAGGGAAGAGGTCTTTGCGAATGGTGTATGGTATGTTGCTTCTAATATACATTGCAACACCTCCTCCGCTTCTGTTTCGATCACGCCTAACAATATCATAACCAGGAATTTCAATTTCACCGTTTAGTACGCTACTATCTAATCTAGTTTCGTTAAGCGTTATAATGTCAAAAAGTTTGTTTTGCATATATAGCAAAAGCTCATCATAGTGTTTTATCAAACTTGCTATATTTAGATGACATACTTTAAAACCTTTAAATTTAGGAAAAAGAGAGCCGCTAGCGTGTGATTGTTGTCTATTTACATCATTACCCAGAGGGCTATTAGCATTATTGGCATTATCGTTTTCAATGGAATTAATCCTCTGTATATTACTATCATCTGAGGGAGTAATATTATTTTGATTGTTCGTATAAAATGTATTTCAGAAAATAGGTTCCGTGTTCTTTTTTTAATTGCATGAAAACAATTGAATTTGAGGAAGCGATTAATGAAATGCTAATTAGTGCGAGGTTTTTCGATGCTTCTCTATTTTGCGAGGTGTGTTGTTTTAAGTCGTTAGAAAGAGTTCGATAAACTAGCGTTCTCGGAAGACTGGTCTTTATTCTCTTAACTATTTCTGCACACTTGTCGTTATCAATACTAACTGACGTTTTTACATGTTTAGTTTTCATTAAAATGTGTAATTACGGTTGAAAAGGCAAGGAAGCCGCTTCCAAAAGTGCTGATTTAACTCCTGAAATGGATTAAAAAAAATTTTAACCCCATGCAATAGGGTTACATTTTACCTCCAAAATGAGGGTTAATGTATAACCCCCAAAACCGGGGTTATATTTCAACTCCAAAAACGGATAATTGCGTTCTTGTAGCTCGAGAATTCGCTCTCCTCTTACGATTTCTGGCTGGTCTTGAAATGGAAGTAGAGCTAAATCGTAGATTCAAGTAAATATTATAAAGTTGTAACATGTATCAGATCAACAAAGAACCAGTCATGAATTAAGGACTATTTTATTAGTCATGACACTTCAAATTCAAATGTCCAATTAGAAAGTTAGGTTTGTACCACATGAGCACGAAAGGTATTTTGATCAAATTTTGCGTGCGGCGTCATATTTCAAACTGAGGCTTAAATACGTGAAAATTCACCTAAAATATATGGCTATACCAAACGGGGTATAAATCATGCTGGTTTGGTCTAAATTGGGCTTAGAATTTGGTCTATATTTCAACTCCAAAAACGGATAATTTCGAACTTTTTTGCTGACACCCTTTTTCTTTAAAATAACAGTACACGAAAAGACAATACATCGGGAACCATCCAGGCCGATAAATGAATTAAAGATGCGTTATATACAGGGTGTATAAAAAAAAGGTAATCGACCTTCAGCGCGCTATTGTATCTGAATTACTCTAAGTATGAACGAGATTTTTTCACATTCGGAAAGATCATGCTATTAGCTGTTAAATGACATTTTCTTCATGCCAAATGGATAAAAAATGAGCAAATACGAATCCGATAAAAAATCTTAGTCAGAATCGCATATTTTCACCGTTGAGAGTTAATTAGGTCTAAAACCATTGAAAATCAATTCCCTTTAGGACTTAAGTTGATGAATTTCACTTCATTTAACTGCATACATATTCATAATCTTAGCTAAGATACGACACGTTCGTGATTAATTGCTTTTTTCTTTTGTTATGCATTGTTTTAATTAGGCACAGAGGTGAAAATATGCGATTTTGACTAGCATTTTAATCGGCCTTGTACATGCTTAGTTTTTCTCCACTTGGTTATAAAAAGCATGTCATTCAATAGCTAAAAGCCTGATCTTTCCGAATATGAAAACCAATTGTTCATACGCAGAGTAATTCACGTATAATAACGCGCTGAAGTTCGATTACCTTTTTTTTATACACCCTGTATAGCCATGTAGAGTATATTGGGCAAATTGTCAAATAATAACACGCTCGATATATATTGAAACTGGTTTAATGATTTAATGAGATTTGGCAGCTTGATCGAGCTCGGAAAGTTATGCCACAATTCCGGGCCGTAACTAGACGCGATAATTGGGAGGGGGGTGAATATTCACATAATCATGCATGTTCACATACCGTAAAAACAATCGCTTTCAAAAGAAATCCGTCGGGCAGAACACGAGAATATATGAATATTCACCCCCAATTACCGCGTCTAGTTACGGCCCTGCCACAATTACATCAAAGTCACACGCATTGATATGGCAAACGAAATGGAATAGTAGACCAATGATGACAATAGCAACAGATAACTAACCAGGTGTGGATTGACTACAAAACTTTTGTAGTTCCCTACAACTAAAGCTGGCCTTGAACACTGGCATTGCATGGTATGAATCAAATTCGCCACAAAGGTCTAAATTATCCTAGGGTATAGTTGTTCAGTAATGTCGCATTTCACGACTTTTGAATTCGTCAGTCGTGATTCACGAATTGCGCATTTGATATTTGATAATATATCAATAACAATAGTATAATCTAATTAGCACCAACCAATCAAATGACAGATTAAAAAATCCTTTGTCTCATAGATCAATCAGATTTACAACCGAAATACGGTTGTAAGCCATGGAAGGCCTATTTATTCATTTATTTATTTATAGGCCTGATCGCAGGTTATATTTTATTGGGCGGTGCAACTGAAAATTTGCCGAGTCATTTCCTCGACGTATACCAAAAAATTTGAGAACCCGAAACCTTTATCAGTGTTTAATTAAGAGTATAAATCATCCTGATCCCATGCATTCTCCCCCAATAATTTGGCGTGTGTTCAGTTTATTTTCCAGCTCCTTTTAACTTCATGTGGGCTTGGATCATTAACTTCCATAATCAAGCGGATAACATATTTCCATATCGAAATAATCTTACTTATTTTTTATCAGTAAGAATGAAGCAATCTGATTGACTGAGGAGCCTTTCAGAGCGGACCGGTTTTTTGCATCCGGCCTGCTCTGAAATGCAACTGCTCGCTGTGAAATGCAACTGCCCGCTCTGGTTTTCGCGGCAAAAAATGAGGAGTGAAACAATTTTTAGACAAAAATATGAAACGTTTGGAAAACGTAGCCTAAGGCTAAAGGCTGCATTCCAGTTACGCGTTTTTCATACATGCGTACACGCACGCTTAAAATTTCATATAAGTGCAAATAACCTTATTACAAATACACATTTAAAAAATACACAAAACTGAATGCTGTCCTTTTATAAATGTAGTTATTTCATAAGTAGGATGTAAAG